ATGTCCTCGGGTGAGGATAAAAAAATAAAAAAAAGCATAATCTTTGAGAACAAGCTGAAACTATGTAAGAAGAATGTTTAATAAATTATATCTTTCGATCATGATAATATCAGTAATATAGCCCCCTATCCCAAATAACTAAAAGCAAAATGTTTCTGCCAAGATGCTTAGAGGTTTTTATTAGGCTAAAAAAACCCCCTAAAAACCCTAATTACTGGAGAATGATTAAACAGTATAATGAAATAGCATGTTGCCATAAAAGGATAACTATATGAACTAGGAAGATACACAGTAAGGTCTATATAAAAAAGGCCAAACAAAAGATAAGCATACAAAACAGTGAGTACACAGTGACTAAAATAATGTAAAAACTATTATGCAATGATAAGTATATTACTGTGCACAACCGATGAAGGCTTCTTTTTTTTTTTTCCTGGTTCACTTTGCTTTTTCGTCTACTTTCTGGTTTACTGTGTGTGTGTGTGTGTGTGTGTGTGTGTGTGAGAGAGAGAGAGAGAGAGAGAGAGAGAGAGAGAGAGAGATTATTCAGATGACTATTTCATTAATGTAAGAAAAACAAACCTCCCAAAACCATAAGCTTCTAACTCAAGAGTTTTAGTACAAATCTGCTAAAAATGTGGGAAGAGGAAAGATAGAAAGCTAAATTCTTTGAGAACACACCTGTTGATATGTTTTAATTTTTTTCCAGTTTCCTTAGATTTCAAAGTTGTGTAAGGCCATGCCAGATGCTTTTATCCAATGAACAGTGATCATAATATTTATGAAGATAGTGTTATATGGTAGAAAGGGTACTATACAATTTCAGTCCTTGCTCTGATATTAATTAGCCACACGATGTTGGGTATATTAGTTAACTCCTCTGACCTTGGCTGTTTCCATCTATAAAATGTCTTAACTGGCCCTGGCTGGTTTGGCTCAGCGGTGAGAGCGTTGGCCCGCAGACCTGAGGGACCCGGGTTCGGTTCCTGCTAAGGGCACGTACTTCGGTTGCAGTTTGTCCCCGGCCCCAGTTGGGGTTGTGTGGGTGATGGCTAGTCGATGTGTCTTTCTCACATCGATGTTTCTCTCTCTCTCTCCCTCCCGCTCTATCTGAAGATAAATGCAAAAATGTCCTTGAGTGAGGATTAAAAAAAAAAAAAAAAAATATATATATATATATATATATATATATATATATATATATATATATATATCTTAACTGCCTGAGAGCAGTGAGCTGGATTAATAACCTCTTATAGTCCCTCATAGTTCTGGGATTTATGTCCGTGATCTTGATGGGGATTTCTCACTCCTTGAAACTCATTGATAAGGTAGAAGACTAAAGGAAATGACTAATACATTCATCAGATACACACATGTTGTCTAATCCAGGATTGAGTCCAACAAAAAGAAGAGAAAGGTGGTAAATATTTGGGGAGTAAATGATGTCTTTCTGGTCCCTCCAAATTCTAATATAGCCAACATTGCTTAGAGAATGTTCCAGTCCCCTGCTATTACTTTCAACATGCTTTATGGTAATGAAAACCAGTTGGAAACCAGTTAAGCAGTTAGTTGGCATGAAAGTAAGCGGAAAAGAGATGAATGGTCTCCAGTTGGCACATCAAGAATGGCCATGTAGGGCAACAAATAGTAAGAAAGATCAGAATTCTTTAACTGGCACCTTTATACCTGGGTCCATTATTATCTTACCACAAAAGACCAAATAGTTACTCAGAGTTACTAATCAGGGGTAAATAAAATGTATGAGGTCTTTATGAGAAATGATCCACTACAAAGAGGAGTCATTCTTATTTACATTTGAAATCACGGAAGAAGCTATAAACTATAGGTGAATATAATAAATCAGCAAAAATGTGGTTTTAATAGGATATATATAAAAAAAATAGCATTGTTAGAAAAACAAAGACAATTCTATGTTTATTTAACAAAACCAGTTATTGGTATTTAAAGTACTAGCAATGTATCTAATGGAGGTGTAATGCTGGGTCAATTTAAGATTTATAATTCTCTGATAAGCAAATTAAAGATATACTTCCCCACATTAGGATGACCATAGTGATATTGACAGTTATTCAAATCCCTTTCCTCTCTAAGCCCATCTTAAAATTATGATTTAAAAATATGCAATTGATACTAATTATGAACATCCTCAAAATTGTATTCTTCTTGGAATTTAATTCCAAATAATTTACTTGAGATATTAAGAAAGCAGAAGAAAAATCGTATTAAGTAGAAAAGAGAACACATGCAATTATTAACCATGAAAGGAGAAAATGTTATGGATACTTTTATAACAATATAGAGATTCCCTATGGATATCTACCCATTCTTCAAGAAGGCAAACATAAAATGTTCCTTTGATGTAGATTATAGATTTTTTTGGCTATGGATAAAATATCTGATGAACACAGATCAGATTTTAGCTTCGTTTCCTTATTTTCTCAAGGGCTTGCTCCACTACACCAGCGCATACACACTGTTATGTACCAGTGTTAGGTAAAGCTAAACAAAATACCAAGTGTCACTTCCATGAACTTACAAAAAGAATACCTTCTTGTAAATGTTGGATTGTTTGAAGAAGGACGGTTGTAGTCTCATATTAATGAGTGAAGTTTTTTTGGCATTTTGATGCTAGCCATTCATATAATGATCCTGATGATAACAGGAACAGAAATTCTAAGGGAAATTCATGGATTTAGAAGTCTAAGGGGAGGGAAGTAGCAAATAAGTGAAAAAGGGATGAGACAAGGGAAACTACCATTTTAATTTCAGATACTTCTATTTTAGCCGAATGTACTGTTTTACCTTTGTAATATAAAACAAGTTAACACGATTAAAATATGACTAACTAGAAGCATTCAAATATACCATGAGGCCCTGGCCAGGTAGCTCAGTTGGTTAGAGCATCTTCCCAATGCACCAAGGTTGTGGGTTCGATCCCCAGAAAGGGCACATATAAGAATCAACCTATGAATGCATAAATAAGTGGAACAACAAATTGATTAAATTGATTAAAGCCTTACCCATGTTAAAGCTGAAATTATGTTAAAAAGAACCATAACCTGGTTTTAATTGGTTATTCTTCAGTCTAAAGTAGACAACATTTTTAATAGTTTTATTTAAATATTAGACAAAACTTTTAAAAGAAATCTATACTGTTTCCAACATGGATAGTGATACTTATTTAGAAACAGCTATAAAACCAAGGGCTGCAATCCAAGGGCCACACTCCCTAAGCAATCCATTAAGTGACAAATGACTATTCAAGAAGTTTTAAAAGGCACTTTTAAAAGCCTGATCTTAGGACAACCACTCCCCAACCCCCAATCTTCATAGACTGTTAGCTGCCCAGTGCCTATGAAATTGGGTTGGGGACTCACAATTCATTATATGTGGATTTTTTCTCCACTCTGACCAGCCACAAAGAGATAGGCTTGTTCTGACCCATCTCTCACCAGGAATTTATGAGAAAAAAGTCTCTCACCAGATCCTTACACATAATCAGCATTTTTGTTTGCTGCCGTCCCAGTCATTTCCTACCTTAGGCCAGTTTTGACATGTACCAGCCTTTTGCACTGAATCTACATTGTGTATGCTGGCATGACATCAGCTGTCCTGCCCCTTAGCAGGGTCTGGGAGGACAGGACTTACAATGGTGCTTTGAGTCATAACAAAGCCCCTTCCTCTCTATTTAGGGTTTCTGACATTTTTTTTCCTTGTATTTAAAATTCTTCTTCCAATTTAAATGAAAAATTTTTTTATTAAGACCATAAAGAAGAAAGAGGGAATTGGTAGGCCTAGAGGACTAAAAGTTGGGAAGGATGAGAGTTTAAGAAAAGCCATAAAACTGCTTTGTGGTTACATCTCTTGCCAACTGGTTTCAGTGTTAAAATAGAGCTAAAACTAATTCAAAATTTTTTCTACATTCTCAAATAGATGAGCCCTAAGCACTCAAGAAAGTTTCTAGGCAGGAAATCTCCAGGAACTGTAAGTTATGGAAAGAGGTTGACTAAGTCACCCCAAATATAATTGAGGGTTAGAATAGTTACCTAATTTTTATCTCATACCATTACTTCACAAATATAAGGATTTGGGCCAAATATTTAGCTTTAAAAATTCAGCTTTGCCATCTAGATGGAATCTAAAGTAAATGATGGCTTTGCTTCCCATTCTGTTTATTTCATTATAATGACTGTTGTAACAAACCATCCTCATGTACAAAGCCAGATATGCAGGAAAGTATGAGAAAACTGGAAAAATTTACCAGTTCTGCGGCCCCTGGATTGTGTTATAAGTCACCAGCATATGTAACTCATTTTCTAGTTAAGTAATTCCCTCTGGGGACCTGGTTTGCAATCCACACGAAGGATCAAATTTCATTCGCAGTTGTAGGAAAATGCAACCCTGTGCATTTGCAAGTCAAAAATCCTGAAGGCCACAGCTAGTCTGGCTACCTTCATTGATTTTTCCTGGGAGAGGATTTTGGCTGATAGAAACCATTTGTTGGAAGGCACAGATGAGGAAGTTGAGAAGAAGAGAAGGGATTCAGCTAGCAGAGACAACTAAGCCTCAGTCTTAATGTTCAACTCTGGCCCTAACACTCAGCCTGCAGCTGTGCCCAAGAGAACGATTCAGCAGTAATTCCACCCCCCAAAACGGCAAATGACAAAAGACACAGGAAGACAAATTAAAAGGGCGAGTGTATAAAAACACATAATTCCATTGGCATCAAACTCTCTTCATCTCTAGACACCAACCTGAAACCGGTGTAAGCTTGATTTAACATGAAATGGGGTTGGAGACTCACAAATTTTACCATCTATGCAAATAATTCTAGATTTTAATGAACTCACTTAACTTGATTCAAAAGACATACTGACCACATGTTTGCCACTACTCAAACTGTTTGGATTACAAAAACCAGCTTTGTTTATTACATGAATTGGCATTATCGAGTTTTAAACCCTCCCAATCCTTACCTTGGTTTGAGATGGTTCGCCTTTCTCAAACATCATCTTAAGCCTGTTCAGCGGAACATTATATTTCTCTATTTTGTTTGCAGCTTCTGTATTTTCACTGATTTCAGGCTTTCCTACTTCATGCCTGGATTCTCCTACTAGACAATTTTCCATTTTTTTACTTTCTGTTGAGTGGTCTTTTAGATGCTCACTGTCCTCAATGCGAGGATACGGATTCTGAATATGGGCTTCAGCAGGTGATCCAAGTCTAGGTCTGGGATGGACCGGTTCCTCTCGTTTCGCTTCGGCCCCAGAGGCAGAGCTGCTCACCACTTCAGCAGGAGGATGGTCGCCTCTGTGCCTGACCTCAGTGCTGCTGCTTCGCAGAGAGTCTGTGTGAGACTCAGCTCCCAGCACTGGGTTCTCCCACTTCTTCTTTAATGCAGTCAGGATTCCCCTTCTAAAGTGCTGGGGGAGATTTTCAGTGTTCTAGAAGAACAAGAAGTAAGTGCCAGTTATAACTTGCCTGCTGAAATATTCAAACATGATGTTCTTTGTAAAATGAAAGTTAAAACTCCAAGCTGCTCCAGGTCCACTGGCGTTTCAGACAGCTGTGAACAGTTACAGCCCTGCCACATGGAGAAAAAGCATCCACCCCAGGAGAGGGAGAGGGGAAGAGAGAAAAAGTCAGGAGCTGAAGCAGGAAGTGATAAAACAGGATAGCCTTATAAGGACAAAATGAGGAGAAAGGAGAGCCCAGATCTAATGACAGTTACAATGGAGACAAGAGATTTTTATCCAAAGATTATTGGGGTAAATAAGAAAGAAAAAGCAAACACCAGGTACTTTAACACTGTAAATAGGCATTCATAAAAGTTCATCATTACACACCACAAAATTACAAGGTGTATCCCACTTTTTTTGTTCTTATTTTAAAAACAAAGATGCAAATAGCAATATAGTTGAAACTATGCAATTGTGGATAATAGCATCAAGGATTGCTACTATTTGTAGAAATGTAAAGAAGTCATCAAACTTTTACATGTATTTCCATAAACAATACAGAAATGTATTTTCATCATATCTGACATAATTTATATGCATATAAAGAGTCAAATTTTACTTTAACATAAGAATCTAATTCTTTTTTTCCTGCTCTTCCCTATATGTCCATGTGTAAATTCTCAGTTATCAGAAAATTCACTATTTCACAGATCCTTTGGCTGAAAAATATCCAGACTTCATATGAAAGCACCAACACCTCTTGATTGAAGGATAGACATTTACATATCTAAGAAGAATTCACTCTCACCTGGGTCAAAATGAAATTAATTAAAAAACATAAGACAGATGGAAAACAACTTGGAAACTGTCAGTGTTGTTCCACAATAATAGAGGAAACATTCTTGTTCAAATAAAATGTAATGTTTCGGACTCTGAAAGTACTTCTAAATACAGCAGCAGCAACTTCCCAACAAATCACAAATTCCAGGACTACCTCTTGCCCTCCATTCCTGTAGTCTGTGACTCATGGGTCTATCAACTAAGAAAGAAAAGACAAACCACCTAGGACTGAAAGACTTCAGGGAATTAAACAGGATTAACAGCTATATTGGGAATTAAGACTCTCACCCTATTACTCTTCCCGAACACACTCTGAGAGCCACTTCATCGAGTAGCTCCGAGGCTTGAAAACAAAAGTTTCATAAGAACAACTGCTTGATTTTAGTGTTTAAATCTTAGCTGACAAGATTCACTGCGGAAAGCAAGTATGGATCAGAGATATAAGAAGCATGAAAAGCTTTCTTGTTGGGAAAGAGAGAATTTAAAAAAACAGCTCCGGAAGCTGGTGCTACCTTAACTGCTGGCGGCACTCTTGGCCCTGTGCTACCTCCTGCCACACAATGGATGAGTCATCTGGGTCTCTGACTTTACCTGCCTTGCCCTTGCCCTGCCCAAACAGGAGCTCTGAGAATCAAAGTGGCATTCTGCCTTGGTAACTGGACACTACTTTTCTCAGAGGCAAATCATGTGATCAACATATATTTATTAACGTGGAAAGATGCTCATAAGATACTTTTGAGTGGAAAAAGCAAATTATAAAATAGCACAATCCCATTTTATAATACACAGGTATATTCATAAATATAAGCATAGGAAAGTATTCTAAAAGGAAAAGCATCAGGATATTAATGGGTTACCCTTGAATCACGGATTATGGGCATTTGTATTTTCTTTTCTTTTCTTTATCCTCACCCGAGGACATTTTTTTGATATTTTGTACAGATAGAGTAGGGGGAGGGGTGGAGAGAGAGAGAGAAACATCGACGTAAAAGGGACACATCGAGTGGTCACCACCCACACAACCCAATCAGGGCCAGGGACGAACTGCAACCGAGGTACGTGCCCTTAGCGGAAACTGAACCCTGGTCTCTCCAGACCACAGGCCAACGCTCTAACCACTGAGCCAAATCTGCCAGGGCTGTATTTTCTTTCTTTTTTTTTGCTTTTTATTTATTTATTTATTTTAATTAATTAATTTATTTTTGTTACAGATGTTTCTCCTTTTTCCCCCACTGATTCCCCACTCCCCCACCCTCCCTGCCCTGTCCCCAGCTTTGTTGTCTATGTCCATTGTTCATGCATACATGCATATAAGTTCTGTGGTTTATTGCTACCCCACCACCCCCTCTTCTGGGGACTGTCAGTCTGTACCCCACTTCCACATCTCTGGGACTACCCCATTCCTCAGACTGTTATGTTCATTATATTCCACAAATAAGTGAGATCATATGATACTTGTCTTTCTCTGTTTGGTTTGTTTCGCTTAGGATAATACTTTCCAGGTCCCTCCATGTAGTCTCAAAGGATAAGAGATCTTTCTTTCTTACAGCTGCATAGTATTCCATTGTGTATATGTACCACTGCTTTTTTATCCATTCGTCTACTGATGGACACTTGGGCTGTTTCCAGATCTTAGCTATCGTAAATAGTGCTGCTACAAACATGGAGATACATATATTCTTTCTGATTGGTGTTTCAGGCTTCTTAGGGTATATTCCTAGAAGTGGGATCACTGGGTCAAATGGAAGTTCAATTTTTAATTTTTTGAGGTAACACCATATTGTTTTCCATAGTGGCTGCACCAGTCTGCATTCCCACCAGCAGTGTACTATGTATTTTCTTTTAATAATAAAAATGTACTCCACCCTCCGTCTGTGCAGAAAAAAATAAATAAATAAAAATGTATTCATTGTGTAATAAAATAAATACAAAAATAAAATTATACATCATCATATCACACAAAGGCTTCCACAGAATATTAAATAACTTTGATATTACCGTAAAGGCATTGAAAATTGTCATTTCTACTTTTCTTGTGATGGCCAGGAAGAGAGGGATGTGTGATAGAATACCAGCAGTGTCCCAACATCCCTTATAGGGCAATTTAAGGAGGAGCACTTAGGATACAAGTTCAAAAGTGCTGGAGTGGAGACAAAAAGGGAAAGGCCAAGGCTATGTGGTCTGATAGCATTAAAGGCCCACACCCTTAAGTCATTCCTGGCAGCACGTGCCAGGCCATGCCAGTTGTCCAGGTCTTTGAGACATGAGGCAAGCAAAGATGGGGAAGAAGCAGAGGCTACAACCTTTCTGGGGAAGAAAAAGATGCAAGAGGTATAGAACAAAAAGGACAACAAAAAGCAGATTGGTCAGCACAGTGAAAGAGTATTGGACTGAGACAGCCTGGGTTATCATTGGGTAATGAACTATGGGTCACTTAATATTTTCTTCTCTTTATATTTTCTACAGTAAACATGTATTACTTGTATAAATCAGCTCCACCCAGCCAAATTACCTTGGGCAAGTTTCTTAATTTCTGGAAACTACCATACAAGGCTATTATGGAGAATAAATGAGAATATATTAAAGTATGTAATGTAGTATTTGACAAAAATAGGCACCCAGTAAGTGGTGAATTATTAAATGGGTGATCCTTCCTATCCTTAAGCCATACCTCACAATGGTGATCATCCACTGTACCCAGTCATTTCCCAAATCCGGAACTTGGGTTAAAGTCTCTTACTGTTCTTTCTACTCTATCTACGGTCTCAACTGTTCTACACTGAAGGTGTGGGGCACAAAATAAGGTAAGATTCTAGTTGATGTCATTGTATCAAGGTTTTAACTTTTTCCCAACTATTTTCCTAGAATAAGGCAGTGGGAAGTCAAGGATGCTGCAAGTTTTCAAGGACCCTAATGGCTGCTACACTACCTTAGTCTCCTTTTTCAAAGTGACATCCAACACACTATTCATTCTACCCAGCAAGTCTGAGAATCTTGGCAGATTTGCCTCTGGACCATAACTGGCTTCCTGAATCCAGATCAGGAACACCATGGAGATGCAACACAGTGTCCTTTCTGCAGGAGCATCTGAGTTGGAATTAGAATGAGCCCCAGCTCTGTTACTCTGAGATGTATGACCCTGAATAAGTCCCTTCCTCTTTGGGTCTCAGTTATCCCACCTGTAAAATGAAGAGGCTGGGTCAAATGAGATTTAATGTTGAAATTGGCATGGGAATCGTCACATTAAAGGCAGAAGGATGTTTGACAGGATACAGTGGTGGGATTGGAAACATGGACTACCTGGTTGTACAGCTTCCAAGGAAGTGAAGGAATTCCTAGGCTGAGAGTGTCTCGGAAAAGTGACAGCCAGTCATTTTGGGTATAGGTGCCCAAATAGCACAGATTTCAAGATGTGGCATATTCCATGCTTTTTTTTTTTTTTTTTTTTAATCCTCACCCGAGGATATTTTTCCATTTTTTTGTACAGATAGAGTGGGAGGGAGAGAGAGGAAGGGAGAGAGAGAGAGAGAAACATCGACGTGAAGGGACACATCGAGTGGCTGCCACCCACACAACCAACCAGGGCCGGGGACAAACTGCAACCGAAGTACGTGCCCTTAGCGGGAACCGAACCCGGGTCTCTCCAGACCACAGGCTGACGCTCTAACCGCTGAGCCAAACTGGCCAGGGCCATATTCCATGCTTTAAGGGAACCTGAAAATATAACTGATGGTTGTAGTAATGGTTTGTGTTTCTGGGTCCTAGGTGTGGAAGAGGAAGAGAAGAGGAGGAGTAAATTTGGGGGAATTTAGACTATTCCACTATTTGCTAAAGGAACAAATTTACCCACTTGTTCCCAAATGTTTCTCCAACTTCTTTTCCATGGTAGAATGTTTAAGTATTCTTTCACCTGGTCAGTCATTTCTACAAATTTACATGGACACTTCTTCCTGATCTTCAGGAGACAATTCAGACTTCTCACAAGTCTAGTGGATCTTCAAAGCAACCTTCTGTCATTAGTGGAAAAACTGGTGAGCTCTGAATAAAGTCTGTAGTTGAGCTAATAGTGTTGTACCAATGTTAATATCTTAAGTTTTGATAAATGTACCATAGTTTTGTAAGATGTTAACATTAGAAGAAGCCAG